ATTGGCCCATCAGTGAGAGAATAGACTAGGAACGAGCCTGATCGTTGCCGGCTTTTGAGATAAGTACTATTTTGGTTACTTTATAAAAATTTCAGTGATAGAGGACTGGATACCGATTGCACATGTTAATGTTGTCTTTGTGGTAGGCCTTAAGGATTTGAGATCAGAGCGCGTAAAGAGCCCAGTCAATCTTTTAGCTTAATCTACTCTCCAATCATATTAATCTGGTATTGCCTCTGAACCACAAAGAATGTGCGAAGAGATACCCGGCCAACGCCAAGCTAATCTCTATTAGTAAAAATCTACCCACGGCCTAGGTCACCACCGCTAAGGTTGGGATGGTCCAGGTAAAGCACGGCGGACGAAGTAACTGGTGTCAACATTCACAGAAGAAGTGCATTGCAGGGGCAAAATTTAGTCCATCAAATAAAATCTACAGAAGCATAACGTGCTTGGGGCAAGACAAATTATCCAAAAGTCTAGTAAGAAAACGTAAAGACGGCGATTGGGTTACTGGACGGTTTGACACCCGTTTGGCGCCCAGTGTAGTGCGACTCGAATTACCGCTTTGGGAATGCAGATAAAAAAGCACATGCAAGCGGCGGGAGAGGGCATACTGGTGCGCACATAAAAAGGGAGCATTAGACGCACGGCCGTGGACGGATCAACATACTGTTGCCGTTGCGAGGCAACCAAAGTTGAGTCCACGCAAATTGCGTGTAAAATACGACTGCCGTAGAAAAAAAGCGTGCATAAGGACCGGGTTACATTTCTTGGCTGACTTCGCCAGCACCTGCTGTCCGTAGAAGCCTACGAGGTGCTAAGCTCTGATTACGCACCAACGTTAGGACCTGTTGAACTCCAGAGAGTTTTGAAAAGTCACCGAAAAAAAGCAGTCTCGTTTAAAATCCTTTCGAAGAATATAGTTCCGCAGGTATGAGTTTTGGCGCTAATTCTATGCATGCTGGCCACGGGGTAAGGATGACTTATATGGCCCCCAAAAACTGGCCAAGAGAACAGGGACAGTCAGCAATACGGCTGTGGTTGCGCCAAATTTGGGGGGAAATAAGGGTTAGGTGTATGGACAACGCCATGATACATTTTGGAATTAGCTCTAAGGCTGTAATTAGCTAAGTGTAGGGTTAAGTGTTGACGTTCATTCCAGAGTTTAAATTTGGGGGGAAATAAGGGTTAGGTGTATGGACAACGCCATGATACATTTTGGAATTAGCTCTAAGGCTGTAATTAGCTAAGTGTAGGGTTAAGTGTTGACGTAGGGGTTTAACGTTACGGTTAAAATTAGGGCTACAGCTTAGGTTAGAGCTCGTGCTGGAGTTACGAGATGGGAGTATAAACCCTTCATGGAAGTATGCGCAGAGCAGCCTCTATTACGTGGTGGGGCATTCCTAATCCTGTGTTTTGTTTAGGGGGTCATAGGAGTAATCCACGGTTCTGGTATGATTGAAGTAGATGACGGGTTGTAATTAGTCATTTCTCATTTACTGGCTCAGAACAGGCAAAAAGACACAAAAGATGCTCCGAAAGGCTTTTCCCAAAAAGACTCTCAGATATCCACAGTCAGTTTTTGTACACATTGCCTACTTAAGGTTAATGCCGGAAAAATACCTATCTTAATCTGCCAGGCTTAAGCTAGTTCTACACTGATTGTCCTGGAGAGTTTGCTTGGACAGTCAGCCTATTTGAATATAAGTGGTCCACTCTATACGTTGCAGTTGGTTAGCGTGGTCAGTTAGTCCAAATGCGGAAGACGTTGTGCTTTTAGGAGTGCTCATGCCGTGTCCTTTCTGTCGCGGGTTAAAACTCTGAAGGGCTTGCCAGCCCGCCCAAAATCCTATTGTAAGACGGGTAATGATCCACAAGGACCAAACTGACAGAAGTTCAATTGCGTGTGAAAATGTCGGCTGAGGAAGTACGTGCAGAAGCAAAAACCTAAGGAGACGTAGCATCCTAGAGGCGGAAGCGTGCCGTCTAAATTTCAGTAGCCATTCAGTGCCAGCAAATTGCCACGTAAGATGGACTACCATAAAGGCGGAAATACCGCTGGGGATCAGACAAGATGTGTGCGAAAGGGCACCGATTTTGTTTTCCATAAAGTACAGATGCGGGCGAGAATGTGGATAATTTCCCCCTAGGCCTTCCCTTACAGAAAAAAATATTATTCAGGGCAACAATTTGATGCTCAGGTACAACAGACCGTTTACAAAATAAGCTTTACGGAAGGGCTTAGAACTGTCGAGAAATAAATAAGTCGTTTTTACAATGTTTTGATTTGTAAATAAGAAAGGTTAGGAGGGGAATGTCAAGAATAAAGAGCTCGAAGGGAACACAGCGCAGCATGGGTCTAGCTAGAACGTGGGACAAATGAACAGTAAGTAAAAATCAAACATAAACGGACACAAAACTACTTAAAAGTCCCACTTGCCACGGTACTTTTGACCGGGAGGCAAAAGAAAAAAGAGAACGTAAGCTCAAATGAATGAAGGTGATGAACTTTTGGTAAAGACTTGGTTCATTCTGTACATGCAAAATCTGTGACAGTTTCTAACTGCTAATTCACTCCTTATATCCTTAAATATTCAGAGAAATAGAAAAGCCTTGAGTTCTTTTAGCTACCAGGAGTAAACACACGTCTAAAGACATTCATTACCTCTTTCTAACCAACTGTTTTTCGATGCTTTACATACCTGCATGAAATAATTTATATTTTGTTGCCTTATAGTGATCCTGAAATAATCTGTCTGGGCTGAACGTTTAACCTTGTGCGAAAGGTAACAACAGCAAAAGGCCGATAAAAAAGGAGCCGTCATCGGTGCAAAAACAAGCATGCTAGGTTGGATCGAAGGTAATACGTTCATTTGACAGTCCTATGCTTCAGCAAATAGCCTCCATTACTGTTTCTCATTTTTCCACTCCTAAAAGGACGGATTCGAAGGATGGTCTAGCCACTCCTAGAAGTTAATGTGGTGATTGTTTGCTAACAACCTGATAGCCACTTTAAGTAATTTGGCCCTGGTTAGCACAAGTGGACGGCTTCGCAAAGTTTACACACAGAGCTCCGGAAGCCGCATGTTAAATTAACATGTGTAAGACGGAAACCGTTACTTCTGCCTGCGTGAAAACTGCGCCCCGAGTCCACCAACGCAGTTAACTGGGAGTGTAGGGAAACACTAGTGGAATCGATAATATAAAGTAATCAAGGTGACAGCCACAAAAAAACGTAATTCTTATAAGGATGGGCACTGGGTATTGAAAATATGAGCTAGCAGCTATTGGCTAAGAGTTTTTTTTTCGAAGGACACGCACTGAATAAAAATTAGTGAAAACACATTGACCACTTCAGAAGAGGGGTCTTGACAAAACTGTCAACTGAGAGACTTGTAGGTTACATGCGTCGGCAAACGGGGAGAGACAGGATGACAAGGAGGGGCAGCTTCTTGGTTAGTGTAACCAGAGCGGTTGCATCTCGGTTGGAAGCAGACGCAACCGAGGGAGGTCAAGAGACAAAGCTTTTTTCATTTAAAATGCAGGTTGAAACTCTCGAGGCAAGCAAAAGGCGAAGGTGAGACAGGACAACGCTTGGTGTGGTGAGAATAAATAAGGAGGAAATCAAGTAGCTGAGGACCTAGAAATATAATGGTCACTTAGGTAATAGGTTAACAAGGTACTAGTACCTCAACACTTCTGTGAGATGTCTGGGTGCGTAAGCACCTACTTGGGTAGAATTTTTTACCTACAAAAACATCGAAAGGGCGAGTATTGAGAAAGCATAGTCACAAAGAGAAGTGACACAGGGCTGCAAGTAGTCTCGATGAGAGCCCGCATGTTCAAAGCTACATACCTGGCAAGATTTATGCTTTTGTCAGGCCATATACATTTTTATTTAACTTAGCAGAAAATCTATCTAATAACTAATATGCGAACTCTCAACATAATAAGGAGACAGGAGAAGATAGGGGCAATAATTATACTTCGCAGACCCACTGTTTAGACATAGCTAATCGAGGCAGGCCACCAGAAGCTCGGGATCGGACAACAAAGCCGCGC